AGGTACGTACTAATACGACTACTTACTACAACCAAACGTAACGTACTNTCTCTATAATTAATTAGTAAGTAAGTATATATATATATATATATATATATATATATATATTCGAACATGGTGAAAGCCCAAATAAGTGGTTGCCCTAAAATCCCTTATTTCACGGTGAAAACAAGGGTGTATTGTTGCTCACAAACTAAAAGTAAATATATTTAGTTTTATGAACTACTCAATAAAATAAAATAAAAGATTGAGTAGTTTTAGTGTCCTCACCCCCACACGTTAGTCACCAAGGTTGTGGTTTCTTTTTCATCCACCAATACCTTCTAAAAACTAACTCCTAAACTGTTTGAAAAAATAAGTAGGGCCTCTTTTTCCCATGTAATTACCTCAAAAAAAATAAAAAAAAATTGAGGTCTTAGGGAATACATGTAATTACCCCAAAAAAAATAAAAAAAAATTGAGGTCTTAGGGAATACTAACAAAAACAGTGTTATCTTATTGGTATTTTCCAGCAGCGTCCCAAATACCCAAAGTGCCATTTGTATTGGATGATATAAACTTCCATATATTTTTCTAGCTACAGGAGCACTTTTATTGAAGTCTCAATATATTTCAAGTATGCCTCTCGATATTTTAACATCTTGGTATTCTTTTTGTTTTTTTAATAAGGAGACATTCCCTAAGTTCTCCTTCAAGTAGGGTACTTCTGAAAACTTCCTCGGTAAGAAGGCCTATACAGGAGGATTTTTTCTATTGAAAATTTAGGGAAGCACCTAAGAATCAATAGATTATGCTTATCAAAAGAAAAAGATGGACTTTTGAGTTTCCCAACAATTAGTTCTCACCCTCTAAATATTCGATGGTCTGTAGTCAATCTTGAGACCTCCTTTTATTTCAAGTGCATAGAGGGTGTAATTAGAAAAAATATTGGTGTTAATCTAGGGGTTTAAGAGGTTACATTCCTAAAATATGAGGTCCTAAAATTAATCTTGCCCGAGAGAGTTAATGGATAGTATAGTCCTGTGGGAGTACAATATCTTTTGGCATATATCAAAGTCATATTACTAAGTAGGGATTTCGTTTATCACAGTCATGCATTACTCTTACCTCTAAGCTTACTTAAGGCAGTCTTAACCTCCTTGACGCACCCAGTGCAGCACATCCTCACTTTAAGCTCCACAATCTGAAGAAATTTACCAAAAAAAATCGAAATCCTTACATGCTTTCCCCTACTCTTTGCATACAACTCAAAACGGGTGAAAACCGAGGAGAAAAGCCCATATTTAAATCTTAATGATACATTCATAAAGACTCAACTAATAAAACAAGAAACCAAGGGGAGGGTCATCAATGGAGCCATACATTGAGAAACCAGAATTACATGGTTTAGACCTAACCTGCAAGGAGAGGGGTCGCCCTTTCGGCATGCTCGTAAAGCGATGGTAGGCAGAGAGAGAAGTTCCGATGCTCGAACGAACTGAACTGATTGTTCTCTCGAGAACTGTCGCCATTACTGGCTTTAAAGGAGAGCAACAAGAAGGACTAGAAGAAGAAGAAGAAGAAGAAACTGGAGTTATTCCCTCTTAAGGAATCGCTTCCTTAGAAGCTATAATCCACAAATTATTCCAATGTTCCCTACAATCTTTCCAAGAGGGGTCAGCCTCCACAATAATTAAACACAGGCTAGGGAATGGTATCTAATATTATTAATGCTTGTTTTGTGGGTCAATTCCCTACAGTGAATAATAGGTAATACTGTAAAGAGAAAATATATTCTATAAATCTTTCCTTAATCTTTAAAATCACATATGTACCTTCCCTCTCAACCCGGAAAGTGATTCCATAATGCTATGGGGTGAGGCTTTTTTGGGGCATTCGATTTCCAAAGGAAACTTTCATTTTTTTCCTTTGCATAATCAGGTTGAAAAATCTAGGGTTTCTATAAAATTTATGCCCTAAAAGTATCCCTTTGTGTACATCCACACTAGCTTTAGCATCTCCAGTTAGTCTCCACCACAAGCCTTTAAAAATGGGGACATCTAAGTATAACATACACAAAAGTGTATAATAAACGTGGGAGATAGACCACGGGACCAACAAAAAATAATGTAAAACCAATAACTTATTCAAGGGTTCAGGCTTGCAAAATACGCGTTTTCTAGCAAGGAAAGTTGCTTTTGGATTAAGAATAAGTTTTGTTTTCCCACTTTGCCAACTGTGGACAAAACCCTAGGGACATGGGGTGCCTTTAAGACAAGGATCTTTTATCTTCCCCCCTTCAATGTATTGGTCTCTTGTAAGGATTGCCACGGGCTGGCCCCGGCCCAAGCCTTGTCTTTTTAGGACTGGCCCTGGCCCAAGTATGGCCAGGCAGGGCAGAGCCTGGCTGGCATAAATGAAGAAAGAATTGAAGAAATAAAAAGAAAAAAAGAAAAAAACGGAGGCCGGCCCTAGCCAAGATATCGGGCAACATTTGGTGGCCTACACCCTACTTTTTTCGGGTAGGACTGGGCCAAGCAGGCCCATTGTCAGCCGTAGTCTCTTGAACATGGGTTTAGGTTGCCTTTCAATTGCGTTCGTTTCGTCCAAATTTGCATCATTAACAAAAAGGTGTGGTTTGTATAAGGGCAAGGCTCTAAAACATCAAAATAAGATACATCTTCAAGTAGTATCGAAAGATTTCAATACTACAAACGTTTGTGATGGTTTGAAAATTTATTTTTGTCTCCAATTATAAAATTTAAAAACCTCAATAGTAGTATAGGTCGAGCAAATCTATGAACACTTAAAAATCACGAAAATTAACGGTTTGAAAATGCATTACAAGATGCACTTTTTTTAAGACTTGAAATTCATTTTTTCTCATGTGCATACATCTTGAAGTCGAGATGATCAATTTGAAGATTTTTTCGCTTCAAAACAACCTATCTTAATGAATTTTTGAGGTGTGCCCTAAATTGATTGTTTGGAGCCTAACCGTTATATAAACTTTTTCATTAACAAAATACAAAAATATTTCCCTTGAAGTTGCATCCTAAAACTACGCAACGATTTCCCCGAATTTATGGAATTATTGTGGGCGTTGTGGACCTATGTACACACCTAAGATCGTTGCGTTCTACCTCGACCTAACGCCGCCTGCGAAGTTAAAAAAGCCTTTGAGCTCTAAAGGACCCCTATTCACAAGTGGGAACAAAAAAGAGTGGGACAGATTTATATGATTTTACTTAATTTATTTTCCAATGATGTTGGCAGTTTTTTCTTTTTTTTTTCAATAGATGATGGAAGGCTTTGTGGAGAACTGCTGGACGGTGATACAAGACCCATTTGACATTTTCTTCTTTGTTGAAGGTATTTTGGTCAATTATAAAAATGACATTTATGGAAAAACATTACTACATACGTCTTCGTTTGAAATCAGTTATTATGAATTTTATTCACCCATGAACGACTATAAGGAGGTTCAAGAAGAAAATGATGTAACCACTAACGAGTGTTCGTGCACACCACCCTTTGCTAAAGCATTAACTTCCATATTAGCCTCCTTAAGACAATGAGAAAACTAAAAAGAACCACCACTTAAAATGAAAAAAAAAATTTGTCAAAAATGCTGCATAATCTCCAAGATGGCTTTAGTGCTCCTTTTGCCCAAGCAATGACATTGTTTGAATCACCTTCAATCATATTTTGGCCCTTGAGATTCTTTATTACCTCTAAACCTTCCAAAAGAGCTCTTGCCTCAGCTTCGTTCACTATTGTATGTCCACATTGCCCTGAATAGTTGAATTTGTAATTACTTATGATCTTCCACACCCTGCTGGGCATGGGTTTCCAATAGAGCTTCCATCAAGGAGTTTTAAGTAATTTTTATGATGAGGCATCTAAATAACATTTCAAACTTGTCTGCCATTGTTAAGTTTAGTAACTTCGGATCGGTTCTAAAAAATATGTGATTTTGGTATAAACTTACAATCCTTGTTTGCTGAAAACCATTCAGCTGTTGTTGCTAAAGTATTGGACTTCAAAACTTCAATCTCACATTGTGTCCCTTCAAAAGTTTTTCTATTTTTCTCTTTTCAAATATTCCAAATAGTGCTCACCCATAAAGCTCTCCATAGCACAGTGCTAATTTTCAGCACACCAAGGCTCATTCATTGAGAGAGGATCAACTCTACACTGTAAAGGAATATGGTTTGTCCTTTCGTTATCCCTCAAGTAGAGCCTACAAACATTAACAATTATGAAACCTCTCTTACCAAGGTTTTCCACAACAGGCAACATCGTTTAAAAAGCTACCCACAAAAATAACTGAACCTTCAGCGGCACCTCCAAATTCCATATTCTTGCTAAACTATGATTAGTTACTCTTCAAGTCTCCTCATACTGTAGTCGATAAACTTAACTTAAAAAATCCCCGAAGTTGTGAGGTCATACACCAATTGATCATCTTTATTGGGAACTTAAAAGAAAGTATGCAACAAATTCATAAGAATTGCAACTCATGAAAGAGTCTATGACTCTCCTACATCTGCAAACAACACTCCTTGAAGAGTTAGGAAAACTAGCCCCTCTGAGATCTTTTACTGAGGTCAAAGGATTGGTAACTTTGGAGAAGACCTCAGGGAAAGAATCTCGAAGCACAAGGTCTCCCAACCTCTTATCAAACCAAAACAAAGTTTTATCTCACTGTCCAACTACTTTCTGACAATTACTAAGATATAGTGATCGGCACGCATCAATTCCTCTCCAAATACTTGGAAAATCAGCCTTAGATCTTGGTATTTTAATGAGGCCAGTCAACACATCTATCCCATATTTCTCTTTTAATACCTCTCCCCATTAACCATGCTTTGATTTTAGAAGTGCCACAACCTCTTAGTCAATAGGCTAGTTTTCATCAATTTGAGCTTTTTAACTCCTGGACCCCATCCCTATTAGAAGTGCATACTTTTTCCCAATTCACAAGTTTCAGTTTTTTTCTTATTCCTACATTGTCCCATAAAAAAGATCTCAAGATGTTTTTCAAAGTCTTCACCATTTGCTTCGGCATTCTGAAAATGGGCATAAATTAAATGGGCAGGTTAGACAAAGTAGACTTAATAAGAGTAGATCTTCGTCCAAAAGACAATACTTTAGACTTCCATAGGTCCAATTTTTTATTTAATCTTTTAAATTATGAAATCTCATAAAGCCACCCAACGATTTTCATCCATATAAAGGAATACCCAAATACTTGCAAAGAAACTTACCAACCCTACATCCAAGAATTTCTATCAAAGAAGCAACCAAGTTTTATGAACATCCAATCCAAATCAGATTGGTCTTTTCCAAAATTACTTTGAGACCTGTGGCTATTTCATACACTTTAAAAACACCCACAAATTCCTTACCTCTTGTTCTTCTGGGTTGTAAAGGATAAAAATATCATTTGCATACTGTAAATGAGACATTGTTTGTCTACCAACATTAATTCTAGAAATAAGGCCTCCACTTACTACAAAATTCAGCATAGTACTGAAACTTTCAGCCGCAATAGTGTACAAATATGGAGGATAAGGGTCTCCCTGCCAAATGCCTTATGATGCTTTAAAATAATCACAAGATTTTCTATGAAAAAAGATAGAGAAATAAGTTGATATGAGATATCTAAAACCCATCTCCCCTAAGATTTCATGTAGAACATGCCAATCTACGTTGTCATATGCGTTTTCAAAGTTTATTTTGCGTAGAAAACCCGGTTTTTGCTCTTTCCGCCTTGTATGTATGCATTTTTATGCCACTAAGATACTATCCATATTATATATGTCATTGAAGAAAGCAAATTGAGGGCGTTTCACCACCAACATTACTGCATAAGTCGTTTTCGAGAGAGAAAAGATCATAGTCAAGAGAGGTTTTGGGGAAGAGAGATGGGGGATTTTTCACATCTATTGGTGAACTCTAGAATTATTGTGCTCTTGCATTGGACTAGATTTATTAGCATTTCTTTGTAGTGACATAGTTGGTTAACAAGATCTAAGAATTTGGTTAATAGATGGTGTTTTTGTGGTTAGCAAAGGTCGATTTCAGCTTTCTTAGCCATTAAGACCTAACTGAAGAGACCTATAAAATTTGTAATATCTTCCTTGATAGTAAATGTATCCTTGCCCATGGCTCATGGATATAACCCATTTTGGGTGAACCATATAACCTATTGTGTGGTCTTTGCTTTGCGTTTGTGTTATAGTTTATTGAATTCCCATTATACTTGTTGTTTGGTTCTTGTATATTTTTCCCAAATCTGTTGCACATTATTATTTTAAAACATTTGGTTTTCTTGCAATCGACTTGTTAGTGATAAGCAAGTCACTTTTGAGGTGTTGGGTTTATTGTTTTAAGGAATTCACCACATCAAGTTGGGATTGGGGTTAGCTTGATTAGCCATCAAGTAGTATCAGAGCTCAAGGAAGAAACTTGAAGGTGCCTAATAATAAGAATGTATGTTGGTTTTTGGGACATTGCTTTTTGCGGTGTTGGGATTGTTGTTTTTGGGAGCTCACTACATCAACTAGCAACTTGAGTTATCATGTTTTACTGACAAGTGATATGAGAGCTCAAGGAAATTGCGCAGTATTTGAGAAAATAATAAC